AAAAAAAAAAAAAGAAAAATTCTGCCAAGTGATATACATGGATTATATAAGGAACCCTATTGCAATACATATCTGTACTACAACTCTATGGCATTACTAATTGGTCATAAATAAACTGGCTTTTTTAAAGAATATAAGTCAATAATTTGTCATGATTTTGTTTTTATCTTACTGAAATTTGAAAGTGCTTTTGAGGAAGTTTTTATTTGAACAATGCATTTCTTTAACATGTTATGCAGGGCCCTTCTAGCCCAATCCAGAGCTGTGCCATGGCAGAGACAAGAGAAGAGGAGACAGTGTCAGCAGAAGCCTCCGGGTTCTCAGACTTGAGTGACTCAGAATTCCTGGAGTTTCTGGACCTAGAAGATGCCCAAGAGTCAAATGCTTTAGTTAACATGCCTGGCCCATCTTCTGAATCCCTTGGGAAGGATGATAAACCCATAAGCTTACAAAACTGGAAAAGAGGATTGGATATCTTATCACCCATGGAGAGATTCCACCTTAAATATTTGTATGTCACTGACCTGGCTACTCAGAACTGGTGTGAACTGCAAACAGCATATGGGAAGGAGCTTCCTGGTTTTTTGGCACCTGAGAAGGCAGCTGTTTTGGACACTGGTGCCAGCATACACCTAGCTAGAGAACTAGAACTTCATGATCTTGTGACTGTCCCAGTCACCACTAAAGAAGATGCTTGGGCAATTAAGTTTCTGAACATACTTTTGATGATTCCTGCCCTGCAGTCAGAAGGGCACATCAGAGAGTTTCCCGTGTTTGGGGAAGTGGAGGGTGTACTTCTTGTTGGAGTGATCGATGAGCTGCACTATACAGCCAAGGGGGAACTGGAACTGGCGGAACTCAAGACACGCAGGCGCCCTATGCTCCCTCTGGAAGCTCAGAAAAAGAAAGACTGTTTTCAAGTCAGCCTATACAAATATATCTTTGATGCCATGGTACAAGGAAAAGTGACCCCTGCTAGCTTAATCCACCACACGAAGTTGTGTCCAGAAAAGCCACTGGGGCCATCAGTGCTGAGGCATGCCCGGAAAGGAGGCTTCTCTGTGAAATCTTTGGGTGACCTCATGGAACTGGTCTTCTTGTCTCTAACACTGTCAGACCTCCCAGTTATTGATATCTTGAAGATTGAATATATCCACCAAGAGACTGCCACGGTGCTGGGTACTGAGATTGTAGCCTTTGAAGAGAAGGAGGTGAGAGCCAAGGTGCAGCATTATATGGCCTACTGGATGGGCCACCGAGAGCCCCAGGGAGTCGATGTGGAGGAGGCTTGGAAGTGCCAGACATGTGCATATGCAGACATTTGTGAGTGGAGAAAGGGCAGTGGAGTACTCAGCTCTACACTGGGGCCCCAAGCCAAAAAAGCCAAATGAATAGAAGGTATGCTTTCAAGAATGTCGATCCTTCCTGCTCCTGCTGTACCTAAGCAAAAGAGGACCAGTCTCTGAGCTTGGCTTTTATGGACAGTGTTCTTATTTTGGTTCTTTTTTTATTTCCACAACCTCTAACCACATTCAGTCCAGGACCAAGGCTCAGGGATGAGTGGGAGAGATGGGTTATACTACTCTGGAGCTTCACTATGATTGCCTAAGAAGACAGATGCTCATCATGGCTGGAATGAAGGTATCCTTCAGTAAACATTGCTTTCTTAAGAAAATTCTTCAGTTTCTGATAAGTCATCCCTATTTTTATCTTGATTAAGGCTTTCTACAGGCCGGGCGCGGTGGCTCAAGCCTGTAATCCCAGCACTTTGGGGGGCCGAGACGGGTGGATCACGAGGTCAGGAGATCGAGACCATCCTGGCTAACACGGTGAAACCCCGTCTCTACTAAAAATACAAAAAATTAGCCGGGCGTGGTAACGGGCGCCTGTAGTCCCAGCTACTCGGGAGGCTGAGGCAGGAGAATGGCGTGAACCCGGGAGGCGGAGCTTGCAGTGAGCCGAGATCGTGCCACTGCACTCCAGCCTGGGCGACTGAGCGAGACTCCATCTCAAAAAAAAAAAAAAAAAAAAAAAGGCTTTCTACAGTTACATAATACAATGAAATGCTGTCTGGGACAGTTGAACTGATGGTTTTTTCATAATTGCAGTCCTTCAAAGATGGCCACCATACATAGTTGTATACATGTTATTCCAAGCCTTTAAATACATACATAAACATATTTTTGAATCAGAATGAACGGACCAAAACCTAAGCGTAATAAATATTCTCAAAGAGACAAGGAAAGATGAAGTAGAAACAGGAAGTCATAAAAAGTGAAAATATTAGATATGAAAAACATAATACATGGCTGGGTGCAGTGGCACACGCCTGTAATCCCAGCAGTTTGGGAAGCTGAGGTAGGTGGATCACCTGAGGTCAGGAGTTCAAGACCAGCCTGACCAATATGGTGAAAGCCCATCTCTACTAAAAATACAAAAATTAGCCGGGGGTGGTGGTGTGCACCTGTAGTCCCAGCTACTTGGGAGGCTGAGACAGGAGAATAGCTTGAACCGGGTAGGCAGAGGTTACAGTGAGCTGAGATCACACCGCTGCACTCCAGCCTGGGCAACAGAGTGAGACTCTGTCTTTAATAATAATAATATATGAATATTATTCATGTGATATAATAACATGTAACATTCACATATTACAGTCCAGCAGTAGCACTCCTGGGTATATGCTGTAAGAAACATACATGTACAATAGAAAATGTGAACACGAATATACTTTGTGGCAGTTTCACAATAGCAAAAGCCTAGAAGCTACCCAGGTGCCCATCATCAGAAGAGTGGATAATGTACAGTAGCCAAAACAAATGAGCTACAGTGACATAAAACAATATGCATGAATATTAGCAGCACAACATTAGGTGAAAAAAGTCCTAAAAATTACATACAGCACGATACCCTTTTTATAAGGTGAAAAATAACATTTAAAGGAAAGTGTAAAGGTAGTGGAGAGGAATCCCAATGCATCTTAGAAGGCAGTAGAGCTCTTAACTACAAACATCATCAAAGAAGCTGGAGGAAGGAATGATACAGATGTCACCTGGAAGATAAGGGCTTGTTTGTGGTGACACTACTGGAGAATTTGCAGAAGTCAGTGCATGGGGAGGGCAATTGGCAGGGGTAGAGTTTCTGTATTAACTGGAACGTTAAGAGCCAACAGAACATGGTGAATGTTGTTAGTATGATTCCATGCTATACATGAGCTGGTAAATCCTGGACATCTGTAGAAGATAAGGTAGGTTGTCTCTGGAGGCCCTTCTTATGGAAGGGCATACTCTTCTTATGGACCCTGAAATCTTATGATGACTTTTTACTGAGTGACTCTTATGGCCAGGCACTGTACTAAGCACATTGTAATTAAATCTGTATCCATTATCTCCAGCGAGGGAACTGAGGCCTAGAAGGGTTATATAATTTTCCTAGTTGGGTGTGGTAGCTCACACCTGTAATCTTGGTACTTTGGGAGCGCAAGGTATGAAGATCACTTGAGGACAGAAGTTAAAGACCAGCCTGGGCAACATAGCAAGACCCCATCTCAAAAAAAAAAAAAAATCTAGGCATGGTGGTGCATGCCTGTAGTCCTAGGTACTTGGTAGGCTGAGGCAGGAGGATCACTTGAACCCAAGAATTCAAGGTTACAGTGAGCTATGATCATGCTACTGCAAAAAAAAAAAAAAAAAAAAGGTTTCCAGGGTTCCACTGTTTGAAAGTGGTAGACTCCAGCCTAGCTATGTCTGACTGCAGTGCTTATGTTCTTAATCATTATGCTATAAAAGTTTTCTTGTTGAACCTCCTGGACTGTATGTTATTATAGGCCCTAGTAAGTTTAGAGTTAAATTGGGAGCATAGTAAGCTGTACCTTATGGGATAAACAGTATTAAGCTAATAGTCTTCAAGAAAAGAACTTGCTCAAGTTCTATAGCATCATCTTAGTTATACCAGAAGTTTTAAGAACAGGAAAAAGGGACGGGCGCAGTGGCTCGCCTGTAATCCCAGCACTTTGGGAGGCTGAGGTGGGCGAATCACCTGAGGTCAGGAGTTGAAGACCAGCCTGGCCAACATGGTGAAACCCCATCTCTACTAAAAATACAAAAATTAGCTGGGTGTGGTGGTGCACACCTGTAATCCAAGCTACTCAGGAGGCTGAGGCAGGAGAATCACTTGAACCCAGAAGGCAGAGGTTGCAGTGAGCCGAGATCACACCACTGTACTCCAGCCTGGGCAACAGAGTAAAACTGTCTCAAAAAGGAAAAAGAAAATTTGTTTTCAGATACTGACATTATTGAGAATTCAGTAATTCCTTGAGACTTGAAATCCTTATTTTAAGTTAACATCTTCTGGTTATAACATTAGGGTTTCTCATAAGTTGAGACATCGTTAGTTGGGACCACCCCAGGATCACTGCTTATGAAGGTTTGTGCCCCCTCAAATTAGTATGTTGAAATCCAAACCCTCAATATGGTAGTATTAAGAGGTGGGCCTTTTTGGGAGGTGATTAGGTAATGAGGGAACAGCCCTCATGAATGGGATTGGTGCCCTTATAAAAGAGTTCCGAGGGAACTCTTCAGTCTTTCCATGATGTGAGGACACAGTGAGAAGGTGCCCCCAAAAGTATGAGAAATACATTTTTGTTGTTTATAAGCCACTCAGCTTGTGGTGTTTTGTTGTAGCATCTCGAATGACTAAGACAATCACTGATGCCGTTTTCTATAACAAATACCTTCCTGTTTCAGCCTTCGCATGTCTAATAATGTCATCTCTCCCTTATGAATTCTGCCTAACATGTCTGAACTCCAAATTACAGCCCTGGTGGACGTTTGTTTAGTGAGTGGATAAAAGAGATGTCACAACAAAGCTATTTCTTGATTTTTAAAAAATTGTTTTCTGGGCCAGGAAATGAGTTGAATACCTTAATTGGGATTAGGATCAATTGTTTATAATAGAAATCACCAAAACAATAGTGGTTAAACAAAATAGAAGTGTATTTCTCACTTAAAAGAAGCCTAACTATAGTTAGTCCAGAACTGGTGTGGCACCCTATGATGTCAAGAGCCCAGATTCCTTCCCTCTTGTTTCTCCGACACAAACATGTATCTTCTTCGTAGTCCAAAATGGCTGGCCAAAATCCAGTCACCCATTACACATTCAGCATAAAGTTGGAATAGCAGAAGGCACCCCTTTAAGGACACTTTTAAAATGTGTACTACTACTTTCACTTAGAGCCCACTGGCCAAAATTTGGCCACCTCGTCATAGCTAACTGCAAGAAAGGTTGGGATGTGTAGTTTTTATTCTCAGCAAGCATATGCCCTGACCAAAACTAAATTCTATGACTGCAAGAAAGGGGAGAATGGAGAGAGGATTTGGAGAAAATGGCAGCATAGAAAGCACCAGAAATCTGTCTCCCAGCCTAGACAGCAGCTGCACTGGCAGAATCTATCTGATGTAACTATTTTGGAATCTGGAGTCTATTGAAATTTTGCAACTTCCAGGGGAAGATGATAAATTGTAGTTAATTTTGGTCGATTTCAACTCTTAGGACAGTAGTAACTACCAGTTCCTCACCCCTCAGTCCTATGGCTACAGCTGTGCACATATTTCTGGAGCAGTTTGCATACAGCTTTGAGTTTTTCCTCCTTCATTTTTCTTTTAACCCCTTTTGGGAGCAAGACATTGAAGACCAGGACATTCAAAAGCAACTGCATATATGGGGAAACTAGAAAATCACCATGTATGCTGAGGGGAGGTGCAGAATTAAAAAAGGCCTGAGTAGAAAAGTTTATATTTCATGCAGATTCTTGGGACAGACACAGCCTAAACAATGAAATAAAATAGAAACCCTGAGGAATGGGGAAAATCTGATATCCAGAGTTACCACATTAGATTAAAATGTCTAGTATTTGGCCGGGCATGGTGGCTCACTCCTGTAATCCCAGTGCTTTGGGAGGCCAAGGTGGGTGGGTTGCTTGAGGTCAGGAGTTCAAGACCAGCCTGGCCAACATGGCGAAACTGTGTCTCGACTAAAAATACAAAAATTAGTGGGGCATGGTGGTTCTGAGGTTTTGGGGCTCAGACTGGCTTCCTCGCTCCTCAGCTTGCAGATGGCCTATCTTAGGACTTTACCTTTTGATCGTCAGTACTCCTTAATAAACTCCCCTTCATATGTACCTCTATCCTATTCTGTCCCTCTGGAGAACCCTGACTAATACACTGGATGACAGCACATCTGTTTACAGCATGGATGACTGACTATTTTAAGCCCACTGTTGAGAACTGCTCAGAAAAAAAGATTCCTTTCAAACTTACTGCTCATTGATAGTATACCCGTTCATCCAAGAGTTCTGATGGAGATACATAAGGAGATTATTGTTTTCATGCCTTCTAACACAACATCCACTCTGCAGCCCATGGATCAAGGAGTCATTTTTAATTTCAAGTGTTGTTTAAGAAATATATTTCATAAGGCTGTAGCTGCCATAGATAGAGATTCCTCTGATGGATTTGGGCAAAGTAAATTGAAAACCTGAAAAGGAGTCGTCATTTTAGATGCCATTAAGAATGTTGATATTTTGTGACTTGCCTGTAATCCCAGCACTTTGGGAGGCCGAGGTGGGTGGATCACGAGGTCAGGAGATTGAGACCATCCTGGCTAACATGGTGAAACCCCGTCTCTACTAAAAATACAAAAAGTTAGCCAGGTGTGGTGGCGGGCTCCTGTAGTCCCAGCTAATTGGGAGGCTGAGGCAGGAGAATGGCGTGAACCCGGGAGGCGGGGCTTGCAGTGAGCCAAGATTGCGCCACTGCACTCCAACCTGGGCGACAGAGCGAGACTCTGTCTCAAGAAAAAAAAGTGTTACCTTATCTTCAATTTTTTGCAAAAGTTTAAGAAGTGGTATTGCTTCTTCTTTAAATGTTTGGTAGAATGAACTAAAAAACAACATTCTTAAAAAAGAGTGTTGAGATTTTAACCTCCAACCAAGACAACTAGAATTAGAAGTGGAGCCTGAAGATGTGACTGAATTGCTGTAGTCTCATGATAAAACTTGAACAGATAAGGAGTTGCTTCTTATGGATGAGCAA